AGTGAAGGCCAAGGCGGTGGCAGCCAAGGCGGTGGCAGCCAAGGCGTTGAGGCCTAAGATAGTGGGGGTCGAAGTGTAACTTCTCTTCTTTTTTTTTTTTTGTAATATTATTTCACATATTCAGACAATAGATCATGTATATGTATACATATATTTTCTATATATATTTTGTCCTATGCATCTGATCGCCTTTATATATACTTTTTTTTTTAGTTTTGCTAATTCTGCTAAGCGATTCATCTTTCTTTTGCCCCTTAGGGTCATCGTGTTGGTAAATTCCTTGACATTTGCTAAGTAAATCGTCTCTCCTCTTTGCGGAGACGACATTTTATTTTGCCCCTTAGGGTCATCGTCTTGGTAAATTCCTTAAAATTTGCTAAGTAAATCGTCTCTCCTCTTTGAGGAGACGACGTTTTATTTTGTCCCTTAGGGTCATCGTCTTGGCAAATTCCTTGAAATTTACTAAGTAAATCGTCTCTCCTCTTTGAGGAGACGACGTTTTATTTTGCCCCTTAGGGTCATCGTCTTAGCAAATTCCTTGAAATTTGCTAAGTAACTCGTCTCTCGCCTTTGAGGAGACGATGTTTTATTTGGGTATATGCATATTTTTGTGAACCGTAGACCCTATACTCCCCCCGTGTATGTTTAAAAAACTTTGATTTTTAGGTAGACATATTTAAGGGGTTGACTTTTGGACACATGCTATAAATAAGCTTCGTTTGTATTAATGAAATACCAAACACAATTAAGGCATGTAAGAATTTGTACACTATTGGTAGTACAGTTTTAACTGTTCTGCATTCCATAGGTGTTGGATTTGTTTGCCGGCGAGGCTTTCCAAAACGTAGGTTCCTGGGCGTAGCATCTCCCTTATGCGGTAAGGTCCTTCCCAAGTCGGGCCCAGGGGGCCAGTGTTTTTTGGTTTAGTGCTCTGCGTCACTCTTTTCAACACCAGGTTTCCTGGGACAAACCTTCTTCGTTTGACCTTTTTGTCATAGTATCGGGATGCCCTTCTTTGGTAGGCGGCGAGTCGTAATTGGGAGTCGAGCCTTTTTTCTTCTAATAGGTCGAGTTCTCTGTTCATGGCCTCCATATTTATGTCGGCGTCATACACGACCATTCTTAGAGTTGGCGTCTCAATCTCCACAGGGAGAACAACCTCAGTTCCATATGCCATCGAGAATGGTGTTTTGCCCATGGTGGTTCGACTCGTCGTTATGTATGCCCACAAGACTTTGGGAAGTTCTTCGGCCCATTTTTCCTTTAAGTCATCGAGCTTCTTCTTCAGGGTATACTTTAGGATCTTGTTGATGGCCTCCACTTAGCCATTGGACTGCGGGTGTATCAGGGCTGGAATTCCTTTCGTATGCCCAAATCATCGCAAAACTTACGCATCGAGGCGTTGTCGAACTGCTTCCCATTATTGAACACGATTGAGTATGGAACGTCAAACCTGCATACAATGTTGTTCCATATGAAGCTGGTGCAGGCTGCCTCGGTAATCGAAGTAAGAGCTTTCACCTCGGCCCACTTGGTGTAGTAGTCCACAGCGACGATGGCAAACTTAAGGCCCTCGGGTGCAAGGTGTAGAGGTCCAATCAGGTCGATTCCCCATTTGGTAAAAGGCCATGGGCTAAGAATGGAAGTTAGGTTTTTTGGGGGCGCTCTAGGAATTGTGGCATATCGTTGGAACTTATCGCAACGCCGAGCATATTGAAATACGTCCTTTTTAAGCGTAGGCCAATAGTACCCCTACCTCAAAACCTTAAGAGCTAGAGATTACCCCCAGTATGATTACCACACACTCCTTCATGGATCTCCCTGAGGATTTCCTGTGCCTCGCGATCATTTAGGCACCATTACAAAGGCATCGAGAAGCCTCACCTATATAGCAGACCATCATATAGCAAGTATATGGCAGCTCTGTACCTAATCCTTCTGGCTTCGTCTCTGTCATTGGGCAATTCTGCGTCCATCAGGTACCGGACGAGTGGTGTCATCCAATCGCCGACTGTCTGGATAGTCAGGACTTTTATTGCTTCATCTATGGTTGGTCATTCCAACTCCTCAATGGGGACGACCCCTAATAGGTCTGAGTTTTTAGAGGATGCTAGCTTGGCCAAGGCGTCGGCATTTGTATTCTCGGTTCTTGGTACTTGTTGTATCTCATAGCTTTTGAACTTGGTAAGCTCTTCCTCTACCTTCCTTAGATAGGCCCCCATCCTTTCTCCTCGCGCTTGATACTCCTCTGTCACCTGCCTTACCACTAATTGCGAATCACTAAAAATTTCAAGTTTCTCGATTTTTAGATGATTAGCTAACCGTAATCCGGCGATCAATGCCTCATACTCCGCTTCATTGTTCTACACCTTGAATCTAAATCGTACCACCGAGGTGATTTTGTGGCTTTCTGGGCTTATTAGCATGATGCCGGCTCCCGATCCGGTTTCATTCGACGCTCCATCTACGTAAAGCTTCCACCCTATTTCATTAACTCTTTCGTCGGCGTCTACCGTAGGTTGATGGGAGAACTCGGCCAGGAAGTCTGCCAATGCTTGTCCCTTCATTGCCACCCTCGGTATGTATTCGATGTCGAATTGGCTTAGCTCCACCGACCATTTTAAGAGTCAACCTGAAGTTTCAGGCTTTTACAATGCTTGCCTCAGCGGGTGGTTTGTTAGGACTCGTATGGTGTGGGCCTGAAAATAGTGCCAAAGCTTCCTTGAGGCCACCATCAAGGCGAGAGCTAACTGTTCCATCTGAGTATATCTTGACTCAGCGTCTAGGAGCCTCTTGCTCACGTAATAGACTGGCAATTGGATTCCTTCTTCTCTGATCAAAACCGAGCTTACGGCGTGCTTTGAGACGGAGAGGTAGAGGCTTAACTTCTCACCAGGTATGGATTTTGATAGGATGGGGAGCCGGCCAAGGTGCTCCTTTAGCCTCTGGAAGGCTTCTTCACATTGAGGCGTCCATTCAAAGCGCTTTCCTCCCTTCAAAATATCAAAAAAGGGAACGCATTTGTCCGTCGCTTTAGATATGAACCTATTGAAGGCGGCGACGCATCCGATGAGCCTTTGGACCTCTTTTGGCTTTGCGGGAGACCTCATGTCCTGCAATGTTTTTATCTTCTCCGGGTTGGCCTCTATCCCTCAGCTACTGACCATAAAGCCAAGAAACTTCCCGGATCCGACCCCAAAAGCACATTTCAGGGGGTTTAGCTTCATGCGGTATTTTCTCAGTACGTCAAACATCTCGCTCAAATGGTCGACGTGCTGCCTGCCCTCGGTGCTTTTCACCAGCATGTCATCGACATATACTTCCACCATTCGTCCGATTTGATTAGCAAACATCTTGTTTACTAGCCTTTGGTACGTTGTCCCTGCGTTCTTTAGGCCAAAGGGCATTACCTTGTAGCAGTAAAGACCTCTGTCAGTTATGAACGACATATGCTCTTAATCACATGGATGCATCAGAATTTGGTTGTAGCCGGAGTAGGCATCCATGAAACTCAGCAGCTCATGCCCAGCAGTGGTGTCAACCATCTGATCTATTCGTGGAAGTGGGAAACTGTCTTTTGGGCAAGCCTTGTTGAGGTTGCTAAAATCCACGTCCCATTAAGTTTTACTACTGGATAGGATTTGAAACCCATCTGGGATAATGAGCCTCCCAGATGAAACCGTTTTGTGTGAGCTTGTCGACCTCTTCCTTTAGAGCCATGTACCTTTCTGGGTTCATTGGTCGGCTCTTTTGACATTTTGGGGAAAAAGTAGGGTCGACGTTCAGAGCGTGGCATATGATTTGGGAGTCGATGCCTGCCGTGTCCGCATGCGTCCAGGCGAACACATCCAGATTTTTCCTCAAGAATTCCTCGACCTCGATTTTGAGCGCCGGCGGCAGGTCTGACCCTATTTTCAGTACCCTTATCGATTCATGCTTATCCACCTGGACTTTCGCCAGCTGTTCAATTGGTTGGGACCATTTCTCTTTCGTGACCCTGGGATCTATGTCCTCAACTAGTCCCTATCGTACCATCCTTGCTTCTTGTTTCCCTGGCTGGTCATACCCGCGTTTGGCATCTGAGTACGTTACTCTAGACTCGTACTGGTTGCTCTTCATTTATCCTACGCCATCGGGGGTTAGGAATTTTACCTTCTGGTGATAAACGGAGGTTATTGCCCTTAGTGCCTGGAGGGTCGGCCTTCCAATTACAGCATTATACTGTGAGCCCCCCTTTATCACAACAAAGTTTGCCACTGTGGTGGCCTGCCTGGGTCTCTCTCCCACGGTGATGGGCAATCGGATTGTTCCTTGGGGGATGACCAAGTCGCCCGTGAATCCAAACAACGGTCGGGTGGTTTTCTCAAGTTGTTCTTTTGGAATTCCCATTTTTCCTAAGCAGTCGGTTTATAGAATATCCATCGAGCTCCCGTTGTCCACCAGGATCCTGCACACGGTGTGGTTCCCAATAATTACCTCTACCACCAAGGCATCGTTATGGGAGAAATGGACCCCGTTGGCATCCTCCTCGGTGAATGCCACGTCCGTGATGCTAAACTTTGCCACCTTGGTAACGGAGAGAGTCCAGAACCTCTCCTGGTATACCTCCCTGGCCTCATAGGCATAACTTTTCTAAGATTTCCTTGAATCCCCTCCGAGATATGGCCCTCTGTGTATGGTTCTTATGACGCCGACCGGCTCGCGATCTTCGCCTCGCCGATTCTCCTCTCGACGTCAACCGTCATTTATGGGACCATGGCCTCGCCGTTTTGCCTTGAATTCTTGCAGCCTTCCTTCCCGGATCAACCTTTCGATCTCATCCTTCAGGTCGGCGCAGTTGTTCGTATTGTGGCCAACGTCGCCATGGAACCGACAATACTTGCCCTGGTTCTTTCGGTTTGGGTCTGACTTCATCGGTTCGGGTCGGCGCAATAGGTTGCCTCGTCCGACCTGATTGAATACTTCCTCGACGTCGACAGTAAGCTCATGGTAAGAGTCGTACCTTTGGACCGGCCGAGGCTTCCGATTCTCATCCGGCCCCGGCTTCTTTGTCTTCGAAGGGTTTGGCGTCGACGGGGTTTGTTTCTCTCTGCTTCCCCCACCTCATCTTTTCCGGTTGTCTTGCTTTCCCGAGGTCGGCCCTTGTTCTAGCCCTTTGTTTTTATTAGACCTGTGCTCGGGATTGTTCACATCGACTTCTTTTGCGAACGCCCCCGATCAGTGTAATGGGATGTGTTTATTTATCTATCTCTTGACTCGAAATGGGAGCAGGTTTGAAAAAGGATCTTAAAGTGTCCAGAAACTCTTTATAGGTGGCTGAGGGCTTTCGGTTCAGGTTGCGTTTAAACGGAGTGGTCTTTTTCATACTGGACAGGGCCCCCGTAAGAGCCTCTCGGTCCGTCATGTCCGTTGTAGCGACGACAGCTTCCCCGTACCTTGCAAGCCATTCCTTTAATGACTCGTTCAGTTTTTGGTACATAATTGTCAGGTTTTACTTTGGCAGGATATATTTCTTTACCCCGATAAACTGGAGGAAAAAGGCTTCCTTCAGCTCCTCCCAACTGGAGATGGACTCGGGTTTAAGCATCCGGAACCATCTTCTGGCGGAGTCCGTCAGGTGGTTTGGGAACGCTCGGCACATTATTTCCTCCGCGAATCTGTGAAAAAGCATGTAATCTTCTGGCAGAGTCTGTGTACATTTCCAGGTGATCGTCGGGATCTCCTCTGCCGTCGTACGGTGGGATCGTCGGGGACTTGTATTTGTCGGGTAAAGGCGGCGCCATGATCTCTGCGGTAAAGGGATGGTCGTGCGTTCGGCTTGGCATAATGTCGACATTGACCACCTTCGCCACCTGTCCCAGGTTTTTCTGTCGGTGGCTTACCTAGCTTTTAACATCTTTCTTTAGGCCAGCGATGTCACCTGTGAACTTTTCTTCTAGGCTCGCCACACGCTCCATAATAGCCCTAGCCTCCTCCGTCGAGATTGCTGAACTGATCCCTTTTGAGGCCCCAGCCTTCTTCATGTTCAACTTATCCCTCAGGTATCTGCCTTCTTGCACCGACCCCAAGTCTCCTGGGATATTCCTCCCCGGGTTCCGAGGTGGCGCCTCAGGGTTTTCCAGGCCGGCGAGCGCTCTTCTCTCCTAGGTTCATCGCCTGGCAGCCCTTTGTCGGCTACCAAGGGACTTACCCAGCCGAAGTCTTGAATTATCTCCCCTGGTGTTTTCATTATCCCCGACCCCTTCTGGGGCACCTTGGTGGTCACCAGCATCCTGGTTCCCAACCATGACAGCTCCTGGTGGTCTCGGGGCATCTTCTAGGGGAGGCATGGAATTTCTTCCCTATAATCGCTCAACAACGGTCATCAGTCCTCAAACCAAGTCGGTCAGAATGTTTAGCCTGGCCTGCATATGCACTGGGTCTGGCGGCGGTGCGCCAGTGGTTGGAGCCTCATCCCTCGCTAGGGGTTGTTCCCCCTGGTCGGGCTGATTCCTCCTAGCCCCACTGTTGGTCGGGTTTTCCTTCATTTGGCTTGTCGGATTTGAAACACCGTTTTTCTTTCGCGGAGGCATGGTCGTTTGTTGTGTGGGGTTGAACTCGCGAACCAGAGATTCTGGGTTCGGTCCCCAGTGAAGTCGTCAATTATTGACAGTGGAATTTTGTCAACAAAAATCGTGCCGGATTACCCACAGTGGCCCGTTGGGTCACCGGTTCAGAACTTGTGTTTTTAGTGAATATATTGGATTTTGCAGGTGAGTTTTTACTAGAATATGAAGAAAATAAAATTATGCTCGTGAAGGTATGAACACAGAGGAATTTTATGGTGGTTCACCTTGTTAATCAAGGGCTACATTCACTGTGTTTTATTTCTCTTGAGTTAGCTCTTACAAATTACGTGCATGTAAGGAACTAAATGTACATCATCTTCTCTCTCGGGGGCTCTTCCCTTTTATAGTCCATATTGCCTCAGTTTCTACCCAATGGTAGGCAGTTTGGACCAGTGGATCGTATCCTTCATGGGGCCCGCCCACTCGAGTGGCCTATGGTCTCTTCTGTGCAGACCGTAGCCTACAATTACCTTTTGGAACTCATCCAATTTGTCCCCCCATTACGGCTCTGTGGATCTCTGTAATAGCTAGTGATCCATTCCAGGCGGTTTTAGGGGCTTTGTAATCATTTCTTATGCAACTGACCTTCTCTAAATCCAGACGTAACCTTCTCTGGGGTCTTTCTTAGGACGTGGGTCCAACTGCTTGCAGTCTGCCGTCTGCGCCTATGCTGACCTCTGCCGAGGGTTTCTTTCACGGCCGACTTCATCACACCATTTTGTATAAGCCTGATCTCGCAGACCTCGACTGTGTATACGGTCGACGGTCTCGGTCATACATTGGGCTCTCCTGCCATACAGGAGGAACCCAAGAGTCTTGGGCGTCGAGGGCTAAATGACATGGCAAGAATGCAGCCACGTGTGGCCTGGTTGTTGTCTGACGTGTCAATGTGAATTTTCTCACACAACAAAGACGAACCCTAATTGTGGAGGAGGAGGAGAAATTCACGTTTCTTTTTTCATGTTTTTGTTCTCTGGGAGTTTAGATTCTTGATCAGAGACGGAAAGGTGAAGATATTATTGGTTCTGTGAAGTTTTTTTTTTTTTTTGTTAGCACTGGAGGCTGCTTTTTGAGATACTTGAAAAAACTTATGCAGGTTTTTGAGTTTTTTTTTTATTTTTTATTTTGAATTATGAGTGTTTGTGTTTTTGAGGTTATTATATTAGTTTTTTTGGGTTAATAGTGTTTTCATTTAATAACATTTTCAGCTTTCTAAATGTATATTACCTAGATAAAAATTGGAAATTAAAAAGAAAATCGCTCCAAGTGCTTGAGCAGAATCACTTAAGATGACGTATGCTAAAGTGCTGAGCATAGTTCTTGAAACTCATTCCTTCATTTTGACTTGAGGACTCGGCGGTATGGTTGTATAACAATCACCAGTCAAAAGTCTGTGGAAAATTTTTTGTTACGCCACGGTCGAGTAATCGATCGTTCCTTTGACTGCAAAGCGCCAAGATATTCTCAGTCGAGAGTTGGTCACTGACGTTGAGGAAATGGTCATACGTAGGATGCCCTCAAGACGACGAGAGTTCATGCAGGAGAAATATATGCGTCGAGAACTCCGCCTAAGCCGTGAGGTTCACGGCGTCGAGAAAGCAGCCCGGTCAAATCTAAATCAAATCCTATCATCTCAAGAAAAAATACATTGTAACAACTGCCACGATTCGGATTAGGAAATCAGATAACGATAAAGGTCATTGGCCTGATTTGGGAGCCGAAATCGTGGAAGTACAACTGTCCGAACCCAAGATTTGGGGGTAAGGGGATGATCTCCTCAAAAAATGTAGAGGAGATCTCTAATATGTAAAAGGCCTATAAATAGAGTCTGCCTCCTTCATAAAGTTTTTTACACACCATTTTTACTACAAAAAAAGATTGTGATCAACAGAATACTAGTGCATCCACAAGTGGACGTAGGCAAAGAGTTCTTGCCGAACCATATAAACTTCGGTGTTTTTTTTATTTTTCTACAATGTTAATTCTTGATTTAATCTGTGAGAGACATCTACAAGTGTTCCCGAAGAGTTAATTTTTAGTTGACTAAATTAAATCGTCAACATATCTTGTGGTATGGTTGAGCAGAATCGCTCAAGATGACGTATGCTAAAGTGCTAAGCATAGTTCTTGAAACACATATCTTGTGGGAGTTGAAGTTGCCACCAAGAAAAAAGAATTGGGGCTTCCACCCATGGCAACTAAAAGTCTTCTTGATAACGACAGGGGGGACTGGTGGTTTGGATTTAGAATGGGAGCATAAGTAAATGAATCCCCTCTGACCCAGGGAACCCCTAAGGGCATAGCAATACAAAAACTCCTCGAGGGTTATGTCGCGGTTCAAAAATTGCCTCCATAAAATAATCATGAAGTTTATTGTCACCCAACAATTAGGTGACAATTGTGCAGGAGAAATCCTATGAAGGCCACAGAGTGCCTTCACGAATGGGTGAAAGGGAAGAGTTTGCCCAAAACTAAGGGATCTGGTATATACAGTCATATGGTTGGCATGGGGGTTGTGAGATCTATCGTTTGTGGTAGGAATAATTAAATAAATGTTATTGGCGTCGATCCCCGCATCGCGAAACACTTTCATGGCAACCCGGGGCTTTATTTTTGACGGGTTAACGTCAGTCACCATGCCCGAGAGCCATTTGTCGACACCACCCCATAACCACGACCCTTAGAGGGGCTGACTTGTAAACCATCATCCTCATCATCTGGGAGAATGAGCTCGTCTGGCTGAGGGGTCAAAATTGACCCCTCGGTGTTTTCCTTTACTTG